GTGTTTAGGTAGCTTAGAGGTGGATGTGGGGTAGGTTAGAGGTGGTGTTGGGGTAGGTTAGAGGTGGTGGTGGTGGGGTAGGTTAGATGTGGTGTTGGGGTAGGTTAGAGGTGGTGTTGGGGTAGGTTAGAGGTGGTGGTGGTGGGGTAGGTTAGATGTGGTGTTGGGGTAGGTTAGAGGTGGTGTTGGGGTAGGTAAGAGGTGGTGTTGGGGTAGGTTAGAGGTGGTGGTGGGGTAGGTTAGAGGTGGTGTTGGGTAGGTTAGAGGTGGTGGTGGGGTAGGTTAGATGTGGTGTTGGGGTAGGTTAGAGGTGGTGTTGGGGTAGGTTAGAGGTGGTGGTGGGGTAGGTTAGATGTGGTGTTGGGGTAGGTTAGAGGTGGTGTTGGGGTAGCTTAGAGGTGGTGTTGGGGTAGGTTAGATGTGGTGTTGGGGTAAGTTAGAGGTGGTGTTGGGGTAGCTTAGATGTGGTGTTGGGGTAGGTTAGATGTGGTGTTGGGGTAGGTTAGATGTGGTGTTTAGGTAGCTTAGAGGTGGATGTGGGGTAGGTTAGAGGTGGTGTTGGGGTAGCTTAGATGTGGTGGTTGGGTAGCTTAGATGTGGTGGTTGGGTGCTTAGAGGTGAATGTGGGGTACGTTAGATGTGGTGTTTGGGTAGGTTAGTTGTGGTGTTTAGGTAGCTTAGAGATGGATGTGGGGTAGGTTAGAGGTGGTGTTGGGGTAGGTTAGAGGTGGTGTTGGGGTAGGTTAGAGGTGGTGTTGGGGTAGGTTAGAGGTGGTGTTTGGGTAGCTTAGAGGTGGATGTGGGGTAGGTTAGATGTGGTGTTTTGGTAGGTTAGAGGATGTGGTGGGGTAGGTTAGAGGTGGTGTTCGGGTAGCTTAGATGTGTTGGTTATGTAGGTTAGATGTGATGTTTAGGTAGCTTAGAGGTAGATGTGGGGTAGGTTAGAGGTAGTGTTGGGGTAGGTTAGATGTGGTGTTGGGGTAGGTTAGAGGTGGTGTTGGGGTAGGTTAGATGTGGTGCTTGGGTAGCTTAGAGGTGGTGTTGGGGTAGGTTAGATGTGGTGTTTAGGTAGCTTAGAGGTGGATGTGGGTTAGGTTAGAGATGGTCTTGTGGTAGCTTAGATGTGGTGGTTGGGTAGCTTAGAGGTGGATGTGGGGTAGCTTAGATGTGGTGGTTTGGTAGCTTAGATGTGGTGGTTGGGTGCTTAGAGGTGGATGTGGGGTAGGTTAGATGTGGTGTTTGGATAGGTTAAATGTGGTGTTTAGGTAGCTTAGAGGTGGTGTTGGGGTAGGTTAGAGGTGTTGTTGGGGTAGCTTAGATGTGGTGGTTTGGTAGCTTAGATGTGGTGTTTGGGTGCTTAGAGGTGGATGTGGGGTAGGTTAAATGTGGTGTAGGGGCAGGTTAGATGTGGTGTTTAGGTAGCTTAGAGGTGGATGTGGGGTAGGTTAGAGGTGGTGTTGGGGTAGCTTAGATGTGGTGGTTGGGTAGCTTAGAGGTGGATGTGTGGTAGCTTAGATGTGGTGGTTTGGTAGCTTAGATGTGGTGGTTGGGTCCTTAGAGGTGGATGTAGGGTAGGTTAGATGTGGTGTTTGGGTAGGTTAGATGTGGTGTTTAGGTAGCTTAGAGGTGGATGTGGGGTAGGTTAGAGGTGGTGTTGGGGTAGGTTAGAGGTGGTGTTGGGGTAGGTTAGAGGTGGATGTGGGGTAGCTTAGATGTGGTGGTTTGGTAGCTTAGATGTGGTGGTTGGGTGCTTAGAGGTGGATGTGGGGTAGGTTAGATGTGGTGTTGGGGTAGGTTAGAGGTGGTGTTGGGGTAGCTAAGAGGTGGTGTTGGGGTAGGTTAGAGGTGATTGTGGGGTAGGTTAGATGTGGTGTTTAGGTAGCTTAGAGGTGGATGTGGGGTAGGTTAGAGGTGGTGTTTGGATAGGTTAGATGTGGTGGTTGTGTAGCTGAGATGTGGTGGTTGGGTACGTTAGGGGTGGTGTTGGGGTAGGTTAGAGGTAGTTTTCGGGAATGTTAGGGGTGGTGGTTGGTTAGCTTAGAGGAGGTGTTCGGGTGGCTTGTCCATTGGCTTAACACTCATGCGTATAGAAATTATAAATTGTTTGCTAACGGTTTATCCATATGCGTATACAGCATTTCACATGCACGCAACATTGCGTGATTACCCTACACGCCTATGTAGTATAGTGTGAATAGTGAGCTTCAGTTAATAAGTACAACCAGAGCAATAGCAAGTAACATCCTTTTTTTATCATTTGCACAGCTAGATTATTATGTACCATCTAAGTAAAGTTTAGAAAGTAACGTAGAAAAAGATTATGCAATCTCAATACAGACGAAAGAGGTATGTTATCTAGAAAGTCAAAAGACACCTATGATGTAGTGTATACCCATGCGCAAAAACTGTCACAGTTTCTTTTGTATCATATTAAACATGGATCTTTTTGCACATATGTAAATATTGTAATATGAAACAGATGAGGTAGTTTTACTGGTCTCTTTTTATTCTAGTTCAGGTGAGAAGATCAATGGACGGGAATTGACTAGTTGACAACTTTGAATAATATGAGATCATCGATATCCAAACCTTACTAATTCCTCCTTAGACACATTTCCACAGTACACCTTATATTGCCCCTCTATCCACATTACTATCTTTGCTGGAGCAGGTCTTAAATGCGGCACATTATAGTCCTCTGATATCTCAGTCAAGCAACGTTGATGTAATCTCATATTTGTTACGTGTGTTCAACATGTTCTATTCCACTCAGTCATGTCACTTCTTCGAAGATGCATTATTTCTATTAAACAGATATAGGAGACGTCTGTTTCTCTGTGTCATAAAACGAGTGATATCTCATGCTAACTGTAACAAAAGAAAACAAACTCCGAAAACTGTATCCTGTTTTGTTCACATGGCATTTTAAGATACATAAACACATGGTAATTATTTAATGCTTACGAGTATTGACACAGATAAGTACATGTGCGCCCGTAAGCACTATAGAACGATGGACACGAGCGTATATAAGTTGTATCCAGTGTCTGTTTAACGTCATGTAGGATCACAACGTGCTTCCAAAGTAAACAGTGTAACAACAAAACATAACTTTGATGACATTAAAATGACTTTCTTAAAAATAGTTACAATGCTCCTATACATCTAACAAGGACACCGAAACACCGATTGTAAGACTAATTACGCCTGTGATAACTCATCACGGAAACAGAAAGTCCAATTGCAAGGTCACACGGTTTTCGACGTTGTGAGGCAATATGTGTCTTATAATTTATCACAAGTATCATGTCCATCATCGCCCATTACCTAATGTAAGGTACGGTTGAGACAATCAACCGTGCATATTCTTAAAATCCACTTTTCATCGTTGTACTTCTTGAATTCCTCGCATTGACAATTTATCATTCACAAATATAAGTTATGATCTGCTATCACGTGATATCTTAAAACGTCCACAAGAATCCAAAATATATCACGACTTCTTAATTTGTCTTTTGAAAATAATATAACTTTAAGGACGAATTGCATAACAGCAGGTTATGTGAATATGCACACAAACATACACTCACACCCACCCACACAAACGTACATTTAGACACCGCGGTTTCGGTCTGACACTCATACAGTTGGTTCCACTCAAAAGTTTTGATACACGGACCAAATATATTTGTATATGTGTTTGCATGTTTGTGCAGCTGTTGTCAACGATGTTTGAATCCCACATACACGTTAGGCTGTAGGCATGTCATAATAATATGTTTTTTTAAACTGTTCTCCATAATCAATATCCCGAGCATGAGATCGGGTCAACATTATGTATACAGTGTATTTCAAACAGAAAGTAAATGGATTTGTCCAAGAAAAAGATAACAAAATACTGCTTCATGTCCGGAAACTATAAAATAGATCAATTGAGCCTGTCACCAAGAGGACGTGAAACAGTGACCTGCACATATTGGAACCTGCTCCATCCAAACCAATGGTTGATAGCATGAGCTACTTCTGCAGGTTCACGTGTGTTATGACATTGTGGCTTCATTTATTCTTCATGTTACAGGTAGAATGTTAGTCTATGAAATTTCTCCTTTTGGAATTATTATAGAAAAACAACAAACAGAAACATTCGGAGTTTAATGAGAAATTTTATCAAAAACGAACTGTGTTTATGGTGATTAAATGTCGTAACCCAGCATGCATGAAACGATGTGGCTGATAATAGTTATAAAATACACTAAAATATGAAATTTATTCACAACAGCATTAAAAATAATTACAATAGATAATGGCTATGTACACAAATCATATTGAGTTCAAGCCGTGACAAAAGTTGACAGTTATCCAAAGAGAAAACATTTAAAACAGCAGGTCGAGTATGTCAGTTGACACAGGACAACGGTCATCTTATGTGAGAACGATAGCAAGCATAATCAACACTGTGGAATATGTGACATGTTATATCAAAGTAAAATAACATAAACAGAGAACTTAGTACACAGAGCAAGGCAACATCCCTATTTGAGAGTGAATGTCGTACGGCCAGACCCGCAGCATACATGAATCTGAAATGTGAACCAAATACTGGCATGTGCTGTAACGACAGATGACGTACTAATGTTGGGTTGGCTTGGCTATTAGTCCAATGAGCTTCAGACAGGTTATAATACTTCATAGTCATCGCACTGACATTGCGCCATGAAGCCTTCATATCCATCTTCGCACTGACATTGCGCCATGAAGCCTTCATATCCGTCATCGCACTGACCTTGCACCATGAAACCTTCCTATCCATCATCACACTAACATTGCACCATGAAACCTTCCTATCCATCATCACACTAACATTGCACCATGAAACCTTCCTATCCATCATCACACTAACATTGCGCCATGAAACCTTCCTATCCGTCATCGCACTAACATTGCGTCATAAAGCCTTCATATCCATCATTGCACTGACCTTGGGCCACAAGGCCTTTACATCAATCATTGCACTGACCTTGCGCCATGAAACCTTCATATCCGTCATCGCACTGACCTTGTGCCATGAAACCTTCATATCCATTATCGCACTGACCTTGCGCCATGGAACCTTCATATCCGTCTTTGCACTGACCTTGTGCCATGAAACCTTCATATTCGTCATCGCACTGACCTTGCGCCATGAAACCTTCACATCCGTTATCGCACTGACCTTGCACCATAAAGCCTTCATATCCGTCATCGCACTGACCTTGCGCCATAAAACCTTCAAATCCATCATCGCACTGACCTTGAACCATGAAACCTTCATATCCATCATCGCACTGACCTTGCTCCATAAAACCTTCATATCCGTCATCGCACTGACCTTGCACCATAAAGCCTTCATATCCATCATCGCACTGACCTTGCACCATAAAGCCTTCATACCCATCATCGCACTGACATTGCACCATAAAACCTTCCTATCTGTCATCGCACTGACCTTGCACCATAAAGCCTTCCTATCTGTCATCGCACTGACCTTGCACCCATCATCGCACTGACATTGCACCATAAAACCTTCCTATCTGTCATCGCACTGACCTTGTGCCATAAAACCTTCATATCCGTCATCGCACTGACCTTGCACCATAAAGCCTTCCTATCTGTCATCGCACTGACCTTGCACCATAAAGCCTTCCTATCTGTCATCGCACTGACCTTGCACCATAAAACATTCATACCCATCATCGCACTGACATTGCACCATAAAACCTTCCTATCTGTCATCGCACTGACCTTGCGCCATAAAACCTTCATATCCATCATCGCACTGACCTTGCGCCATAAAATCTTCCTATCCGTCATCGCACTGACCTTGAACCATAAAAACCTTCACATCCGTCATCGCACTGACCTTGCACCATAAAGCCTTCATATCCATCATTGCACTGACATTGCGCCATAAAACCTTCCTATCTCTCATCGCACTGACCTTGTGCCATAAAACCTTCCTATCCGTCATCGCACTGACCTTGAACCATGAAACCTTCACATCCGTCATCGCACTGACCTTGCGCCATAAAGCCTTCATATCCATCATCCCACTGTCCTTGCGCCATAAAGCCTTTACATCCATCATTGCACTGACCTTGCGCCATGAAACCTTCATATCCATCATCGTACTGACCTTGCGCCATGGTACCTTCATATCCATCATCGCACTGACCTTGTGCCATGAAACCTTCATATTCGTCATCGCACTGACCTTGCGCCATGAAACCTTCACATCCGTTATCGCACTGATCTTGCACCATAAAGCCTTCATATCCGTCATCTCACTGACCTTGCACCATAAAACCTTCAAATCCGTCATCGCACTGACCTTGCACCATAAAACCTTCATATCCATCATCGCACTGACCTTGCGCCATTAAACCTTCATATCCATCATCGCACTGACCTTGCGCCATAAAACCTTCATATCCATCATCTCACTGACCTTGCGCCATAAAACCTTCATATCTATTATCGCACTGACCTTGCACCATAAAACCTTCATATCCGTCATCGCTCTGACCTTGCACCATAAAACCTTCATATCCGTCATCGCTCTGACCTTGCGCCATAAAGCCTTCATATCCATCATCGCACTGACCTAGCGCCATAAAACCTTCCTATCCGTCATCGCACTGACCTTGAACCATGAAACCTTCACATCCGTCATCGCACTGACCTTGCACCATAAAGCCTTCATATCCATCATCGCACTGACCTTGCGCCATAAAACCTTCATATCCGTTATCGCACGAGGGTTCAGTTTCATCAGCTGTGCTAACATCTTCATAGAGGTAATTCTGCTCCACGTCCAACATGTCAACACTGTGTTTTGTACTGTCAATTTGTGTTGCCAACATACAACTAATCTCTGATAATACCTTCCCTACGAACTCCTGATGTGCTTCAGCATTCCTACATCTCGCTTCTCTTGGAGTGTGAATGGACATTGTTTCAGTAATGACATTGTCAGACATGATTTTCAACCCGGTGTCTGGTTGAGCATCTACGGGAAATCTGACTGACTCAAGGTCTTCTGAAGGGCGTTGAAAGGAGATTCCAATTTTATCTTTGCTTTCATCAGGATAGTATTTCCCGAGATGGTTTAACATAATTACAGTAACACCATCGTGGACTGTTTCAGGTTCCTGTACAGTCATACTGTGTTGCCTCACAGACACATTTTCATCCACTTCGTTTTTCACCTGCCTTCTATGTACCCTGCCTCTTGAGTCTGAAGAAGTTTATGGTTCAGTATGATCCAAATGTCCTTGGTCTGGTTCCGTGGGTGCTTGATGTCCCACTTTAGGAGTCACCAAGCTGTCCTTTTGACAGCCCAGGCTACTGTTAACATCTGCCTTTTGTTCTTCGGCTGCTCCTAGGTGTGGCATATACATTTCACCGATGATATCATAACCAGGATAAGTCATGTATTGGAGTGACATATGATCCATACTGAGAGCTCCAAATGAAACCCCTTGACAGGCCGCGCTACTTGAAACATGTGGTCTGTGTCCTTCAGCTGAGTTCTAGTTAGGGGATATGTAGGGGTGATGGGGGCGTGCCTCATCCTTGTGAAGAGTTGTCTTGTTAGGGGATATGCAGGCGTGATGAGTGGCGTGCCTCATCATTGTGAAGAGTTGTCTTGGAGCGTTGAAAGAAAAATATGCTCTTTTCTGTAAATTTCCCAGCCTCCCTTATCCCAGGTTGTCTTGTGGTCAGTTACTTTGGCGCACAGGATCACAACAGATGACTCTGTATATGAAGGCTCACGGAGGAGAACGGGTATGTTAGACAATGTAGGTGTTGCATCCACAGATACAGATAGATGATAAGGCTAGTTAGTTGAGCTACGTCAGAGGGATGCGGTCGAGTTATAACACAATTTTGTCATCGCACTGACCTGGCAAGATAAAACCGTCATGTACGTCATTGCTCACGCATTCCGTGTCATCAACAATGTTTCCATCTTCATTGAGGGAAAGTTGCATATTGTGTTCTTTACTGTCCAGTTGTGTCGCCATAATACCACTTCTTTCTGGTGATACCTTTACCACCAACTCCTTGTGTGCCTCAATAGTATCTCTTTTGATACCACTAATAGTTTTGCGTAGTCTTTCTTCTCTTTGTTGGATAATGGACATTGTTTCAGCAATGATATTGTCTAAATCAGATATGATTCCCAACACTGTGTCGGGTTGAGCGCCTACAGGAGAGCTTACTGACTGAGCTTTAGCCGCACTGATACCATCTTCCTTCTTACTTTCACCACGACAGTGTTTCCTGGGAGGACAACACGGAATCAAATATGCACCATGTACTGTCATACCTTGTTCCCCAAATGGATCATTTCCATCCACTTCAGGGATTTCGGTTGGCATTTGTCTCCTCCTCTCTCCAATCCCAGATTCTGAAGTAGTTTCTGGGTCAGTACAGCCCAAATCCCCTTGGTCTGGTGCCTTGGTTGCTGGATGTTTCAAACTCTGGGATGTCGATCTGACCTCTTCATCTCCCTTCTGTCCTTCAGATGATTCCGCTTGTGGCATATTGGCCTCAACAAACTCAGCATAGGTCGATCTAACCTCTTGGCAGCCCAAGTTACTGGTAACATCTGGTCGTTGTCCTTCAGCTGATCCTTGGTGCGGCGGCATACACGTATCCTCAATGACCTCATAATCAGGATAGGTCAAGTCTGGAAGTGACATGCTTGTATCGTCGGCTGGAGTGACTTGACGAAACCTTTGGACATAAAGTCTACTTCTATCATATCTGATCTGGCACACATATCGAAATTTTTCTACAGCTATATACAGTTTACGATAACGTTGCTTAGAATTATACATATACTGACTTTATCCTCGATATTCGTATCAGTCAACGTTTTAAACATCTATATTTATACGAAATCTTTCATTTACTGTCACCCCTTAGATGAGTCAAGCCTGAACAGCCAGTCTTTACCTATGAATGTGATACATGACTGAGATTTTAGTGATTTTCAACATCACTATCACTTTATTGGTTGATATATGATTACACAAAAGACATTTCTCGCCGCGAATAGCTGCAAAATTGCTGATGCGGCGTTAAGCAATATTCACTCACTGAGATGAGTCAAGGGTGACCCAGTCGTCAAAGACGATAGAGCTAATGTCTGTTAGTCGCACCTGATGGTGGGCTTTGTCCATGACGTAGTGAACTTGAAGCTGACATACCTTTAAATAACCAACTACTGTTCAAAGTGGCGTAAAACGCAACTCATTGACATACTCATGTTACGAAGTATTCAATGACAGTAATAATTTTAGTTTATATGGAATTATGGAACGTAGTTCTTTGCTCTTTTGAAAACGGAATAGACACGTGGCTTAAACACTTGCTGGTCCGGATCAAAACCCGTGTTCGATACACCAGGTCAGTGTAATGGTGTCCCAGCGGTGGTACTGCCACAATATTTCTAAAAGCATCGAAAACGTTACTCACTCACTTCAAAAGATGACATTTATACACACTATGTCTAAACTGCAGGGCCTACATGTACCTTCGTTTCCAGCGTTCTGCAATAAGACACAAAAAAATGTTTTTATTCAGTTTATCTTTCGAAACATCTGTGTTATCGGGTCGTGGTCGAGTGGATAGAACGTCTGCCCGGAGAGCGGAAGATAGGTGGTTCGATCCCCGGCCGCGTCATACCAAACGACGCACTTTATGATATAAAACAAGGATTGGTTGACTCGGAGTCAGTCTGAGTGGGATATTCATGATAACATTGGCATGTTACCTCAGCACTATAAAATCGGCATAACAACCGGCATTTCCTCTATTATACGATGTGGTGTATAAGTACAATCGAAAATCAATTGATGGGATGATCTATACAAATATCTAATTTAAGTATCGTCCAAGACGGCTCTTCAATTATAGAACAACCCACATTATATCGAAGAGCAACGTTTAATATTTGTAATCTTACCTCTGATATTCTTGTGTCGGACGAGTACCACAACAGCAACGACGAGCAATATGATAGCCAGTATTGAACAGCCAATGATAATGTCAGAAGAGGTCGTATCTGGAACACGCACAATGTAATAATGACCAACATAATACATAATACAGTAAGGGTCTGTGTGTGGGCAAGTTAGGGCTTGCATGAAATCCATCCTTAACATGATATGACATCATTAGTATAAAAGTGTTATTATTTCAGTGAAACAAAATGGCTGATTTATAATTTACAAATCGTTATTTTGAAAACATGAATAATTGATTGTGTAAAATAATTAATCAGGTAATGAACGCTGATGGATAGGATGACATTTGTGTAAGCTGCAATTTCCTGAAGGTAACTTCTTTTAGAATGAACAAGACTTTTAGGTAAATGACCTATGCAATGCGTTACCATTTTGAAAGCATCAGACATTCTTAATGAGAGCTCATTAAGTTTATTATCTCTTATGAACAGATAAGGATGTTCTCCGCAGCATGTTCAGTGGCGAATTAATAAGAACGTTATGTCATGTTAGGTCATAATTTTGGTTAAAGGTTAACATGAAATATTCAAAGTTGATATTCCTGTCATGAATTGGTTATACAAGTGTTTGCCATATTCGGCTCAAGGTTACAAATTACATTTAAAGTACACTCACGCGTATTCGTGCTGCTTCCTGCCAAGTAAGGAAGGAGAATTCGTGAAAAAGATAACAGATAACATGCATTTCAAAGTCATCATCTAAGCAATGTAAATACACTTGCATGACACAAGTTATCATTATCTTACAATATATATCTTTTTTAAAGGTTTTTGAACAATACCTACATCTAATGTAAAATTAGAAGTACCGACATTTAAAATTCGAATCTATCATTTGAATTAATTGTGAGAATAAAATCTTCAGTGTGACGACTGCTCTTACAAAGCCGTGAACAGTAATAATTTGCTCTTTGAATTATACCTGAAGGGAATACACACGACTCATAGGTGTTTGGGTAAATATGACGCCACCCTTTATGCAAAAGCGCTGATACATTTCCATTGACATAACACGCGGCTGTAGTTCCTGATTGATATTTATGGCCATTTGAAACCCTTTGAATTTGAAAGTCTCCTAACTATTAGATATATGGTGTATATCAAAATAATAAGTAAGTCAATCAGAGTGAATATATTCATATATTTAGGACATTACACATACGTAGTTGAACATCCAGGACAAAGTTGCTGCTCCATCGCGACACCTGTCCACCCTCCTCTGTACCCTGGCATGAGTAGCTACCACTGTCCTCCTCTCTGACATCTGTGATTGTCAAGGTGGAGCCTGACATTTGGCACCTTTCTCCACACAGTAAGCTGGTGGTGTTTCTTCTCCAGATGTAGGCCATGTTGAGACTGTGGTCAGCTGGAAGACTCCGGGACGTGGAGGAACACGTCAAGGTTATGTTCTCACCCACACTAGGCAGGTCGGTGGCAGTGATATTCATCTTCCCTGGCTTGCCTGGAATACATGGTAACATGTGTACATCAACGGGGCAATCTTCAACGTTTATGTTAAGGCATAAACCTTTCTCGATTTTTCTTCTCTGACGTTTAGTGATATTCAAGGTGGAGTCTAACGTTTGGCACCTTACTTAACTGTTCTAAGATGTAGGACATGGTCAGATTGTGATCGTGGCGAGAAAAACGGGACGTGGAGGAACGTTGCATGTCAGCCTTGTATCCCGAGTCAAATTGAACTCTTCTATGTTTCACGCTGTCAAAGGGTGACGTATGTATCGTCCATGGGAACTATCAGCTTATCATACTCCACACACTCCATTATAGTATAGACCGCCTCCGTGGTCAAGTGGTAGAGTGTCCTCCCGGAGAGCGGAATGTCTGGGGTTCGATCCCGTTCGCGTCATACCAGTATGGTACTTTTTGTTACGCTGCCTTGAGTTCGGCATTAGGGGGGCAAAAACAAGGACTGGTCGCCTCAGAGTCAGTATACTGTGTCTGAGTGGAGTTCAAGTTAAACTGCGGCGTGGTATCTCAGTGGGCTAGCACTATAAAATCGGCATTAGTCCAGACTAGAACAAGCAGCCACGCCACACACTCACGTGCATGCACGTCGCTATATAAGTACAATAATGCTGCAACAGTTGAGTGATACAGGTTTCTATCTGCAATGTTGCTTCGCGACGATCTCAGATGCCCCGCGAATCGAGCAAACATTTCCTACTTCACCGGCAGCACCCGCCACCCACACAATCTGTAAGTATCGCAGCACCAAGAAAGACTCCTGCCATACGACGGAGGTCTGTGAACAATGGAGTCTGGTCTGAGCTACTTACGTGAGACAATCAAGGTATGTCCACACTTAGGGATGGTGTGATATCCGCTGACACAAAGGTAGTTGCCTGCATCAGATGCTATAACATTATGAAGCAACAAACGTACAATGACAAATTCAGATGAAGGACTAATTCCCTTGATCTGCAGTCTTGAGGTGAAGGTATTCCCAACGTTCCATTTATCAGACAGCTTCCACATTAAACGTGGTCCAGAGGGCGACGTGATGTAGGACCCGCTCTCCAGGGAGGGCATCTTCCACGTCATCATGGCATCCTCTCCTCCAGGCACCACAGTGTAGTTCTTGTTATCATCAGACCAATCTGCAAAATAGTTTTCGTTCATTTAGTCGTTCTTGTCCATGGAGAAAGATGTTGGAAATGCTTTAGGTGTATATCGTATATATATAATTTACTGGTCGACTGTTCAGTATGTTGTATGGCAGTGTATTTTGTAACAATGACTGAAACTGTGTTACATTGGTTATTTTTTAGATTCGGTCGACGCTCATTGCATTGTGTTTAGACAGTGATCAGTCGTGAGGAATATAGTGCTTTTTTATGTTAGCAGTCGTCAGGAAGTTACTATGTTTAGACGCTAATGTGGTGTGTGATGTGTTGTTAGGTATACCGTGGACGGTGATAGTGTGTTATAGAAAGATGTGGAATGACACAGTACCGCTGAACTGAGGGCACTGTGAAGAAATTTCCGATGGCTAGCTAGGTTGTATATACGGGAACATGAGCGTGTTTACGCATCGCTCACACTTTTCATCACATCAAGACCAGCTTTCGTGTGTGGATCACTCATCATCCATGAATCCCTGCCTATGCGCGTCTCGGAAGCTTGACCGCTTTTGCCGCTGGGTGAATCCATATTATTATCACTGAGTTTTGCTATTACTACTATATTTGTGTATTTGATATTGACCACTGCCATCATATTATATATTGGATAGTGTACCACCACTCTATTGGGTACTGCCATTGTAAGTGTTGTGCAGTAATTTGGTTTGATTTGTAAACCTACTTAATTTTGTAATTCAATTGTATTTAAATACCATTTGTTGGTTGTATGTTGGTTTCACACTAAGTTCTTTTACATACAGATTTATGTGTTAACATTTTGTTTCAATTTGGGAATCGAATCCTAACAAGTAGACTGAGCAACAATGTTGCATCTACATGTCTACTGCTCGAAAAGTAAAGGACACATGTAAACTACACTGAGATATATTGAAACCACTCACACAGTAGGACAATCTCCACACTCCACTCAGACTGTACCTCCCCCACTCCAGCCTGACACTTGTATCTGTCGTTCTCCCGCCAACCATCACGAATAGGCAAGGTGCTGGTGTGGTTTATCTGTCTCCCTTCATACACAGAGCTCCAAGTATCAGATGACGCCATGTGAATCCGTCCCCCACTATACAGCCTGACATCGTTTTCTCTCCATGTGACTGACACAGTTGGGACGCTATCTGGATAGATCCGTAGTCTACAGTTGCATGTCAGGTTCACAGTGTTGTTGTCCTCCACGTCTTGTTCAATAAGGACATAAGGATCTTGTAAACCTAAAAAACAAGGTATCCTCTCAATACATAAACAAATATACTATCAAATTTGTATTCAACATTTAAGTATATTAGTTATGTGTGCGTCATGGGAAGATTTCTCAACAGTTTCTGGTGATTCCCCACACATCTATAAATAGATAATTAATCAACTTTAACTTTCACACGTTGTCAACAGCATGGTGTGACGACCACGGGTGTATATTCCAAGGAGCTACAAACGCCACAGAATAAGTAACACTGGTATCTACCGAAAGAAATGCCATAGAAGACAAGCTGGTGATGGAGATTACATGAATGAATCATTGAAAATCAGTGATAACACCTAGTGTTCACAATATTAATGTCAACTAATATATCTCAGCTTATTGTGACGTGACACATCTTAATTGATTAAAAACCGATTAATGGGTAACTTAATGACTGTGAAAGATTAGATTTCAACTTGAATAACGAAATACCCGTTTGCCACTCGGCACAGAACTCTACCCGCCCCTTGTGAATTGATGCGTTGTCTGTTCCATGACAACGAAACATAGCGACAAAACCCTTTCCATGTCCAATAGAAATCTCTGCATAAAGCAGAGTCGATTGTACAATTCCGACTCTATCATGAGCATGTGTGTATGAATCACTATCAAATAGTAATGATACCAGGTGTTCGCGACAAGGGGAGCGTATCCTGCCCACCGGTGGCACCCGTCAAACAGATGCAAAGACACGTCAATTGTTTACCTGAAAATATGGTAACAAAATAGGGATATGCACTGGACATCAATTTTGTCACTGATGCGTCAAATTGCGGACTCATGCGTGTCAAGCCAAACGTGCTGAATCTCCCTCACCCGTTGATATACGTCGTGTTGTATTTAGTAGGTGTATTTAACTTCAGCGCGCCGTTTATATTGTTGTATGGAGGACAGCTGGAAGTCAAATTTTCCATCTTGGAGAACACGTGTATGATCTTCCCCCAAACCAAAGGTAATAAAGAGAACGAATCTTGTATTTAAAACGTAAAGTCGACAGTATGATCACATTAGAACTGCAGTAATATAACAGACACTCCTATATGGGTACTCACCAATAACATAAAGTGTTTGTCCACAGTTTTGCATCCTGATTCTTCGATACGGGGGTCGTGTCGGGTCAAGGTGACAGCTGTACTGACCAGCGTCAGAGGGGGTCACGTTATACAGCTGGAAACTGAAGTTTCCACGTGTGTAGGACAATGAGTCATCATTAATCCTGGTCCTCAGTTCCTTATCAGCAACTGTTACTTTATTGCTGCCAGTTATCTGAAACAGTACCCTGTAATCCTTCATCACCTTGAACTCCTTGATGGGAGACATGGCCCACGTCACAGTCACAGGTCCTCCAAGGCGAGCATAGACGCCTACAGCAGCTGAGATAGAGCAACAAACCTAGTTTCATGTGTCCATTGAAATAATTCAGTTTATATATGATACCAAATACTACACATTGGGAATGTTTTATGCATTTTGGGTGTGAGTGAGTGAGTTTAGTTTTGCGCCGCTTGTAGCAATATTCCAGCAATATCGGGGCGGGGGACACCAGAAATGGGCTTCACACATTGTACTTTTGTCGGGCATCGAACCCGGGTCTTCGGGGTGACTGGGCGAACGCTTTAACCACTAGGCTACCTCACCGCCCCTATGCATTTTGGAACAAATCAAATGACATATTCATAAAAAAATATGTAAACATGTGTGCTGAATGATCCAAATTCTTGAAATCAAATCAAACAGAAACAAAAAAAATGTCAATGAATTACCCTAACGACACGATTAAGTCATTTACTGATTACATGAATAATTGATGGAATGTGAACATGAATAGATATGTTCGGTCGATTGATTTTCCTTGGTGCTGCGCCATAGTCCCTCTAGTTTGTATTACTAGAAAGGTTTTAACAAAGGCATAATGCCTCTTCACCGACCCTTAAACCAAAACAGAATGTTGTTTAGATTGTTGATTAAGGCATCACAGTCTACAATAAAACAAGGAATAACTATCAACCTTGCACATTTCTTTATTGCCGAATGCTCAAATGACAGACAGCCTATTCAGGAAGCATTTAAAGCAGACAAATCTTAGAGACTTACGACTACAATTACGACTGCCCTTAGAGCTATTCATGAGGTTGTCTTAAACCTTTCGCAAACTCATGACACAAATCTCAGGAAACACATTGAGCTCTTTTGTGACGGAGGTAAAATAATGGTGTTTCCCAATGACGTCATTGATGATTCAAGGAATTCCCTAGATTTAAATTGTATCAATATTTATATTAAACTATATATATGTTTTAAAGATAATCAGTTAATCCGCTATTGAAGATACATGTTGATGTTATGATTAATGATGTAGCCTCATATCATTGTTATGGACAACTGATCTATGGAGGATATTAAGGATTAAGGCCGTTCTCTTTTATTGACAGATATAGCAACCACTGAATATTGATACATAGAATTCGAAAGGATGATGCGAAAGAAAACGAAAATGTGACAAAACACTAACAAGTTCGTACATTATATGGGTATGACCACATTTCAAAGATTGCATCTAACATTGTTTGGCCAGATGTGAGAAGGAAACTCGGAACATAGAACAATGAAACCTACACAATGTCCCCGGAACATAGAACAATGAAACCTACACAATGTCCCCCGAACATAGAACAATGAAACCTACACAATGTCCCCGGAACATAGAACAATGAAACCTACACAATGTCCCCCGAACATAGAACAATGAAACCTACACAATGTCCCCCGAACATAGAACAATGAAACCTACACAATGTCCCCCGAACATAGAACAATGGAACCTACACAATGTCCCCCGAACATAGAACAATGAAACCTACACAATATCCCGAACATAGAACAATGAAACCTACACAATGTCCCCGGAACATAGAACAATGAAACCTACACAATGTCCCCCGAACATAGAACAATGAAACCTACACAATTTCCCCGGAACATAGAACAATGAAACCTACACAATGTCCCCCGAACATAGAACAATGAAACCTACACAATGTCCCCCGAACATAGAACAATGAAAACTACACAATGTCCCCTGAACATAGAACAATGAAACCTACACAATGTCCCCCGAACATAGAACAATGAAACCTACACAATGTCCCCCGAACATAGAACAATGAAACCTACACAATATCCCGAACATAGAACAATGAAACCTACACAATGTCCCCGGAACATAGAACAATGAAACCTACACAATGTCCCCCGAACATAGAACAATGAAACCTACACAATGTCCCCGGAACATAGAACAATGAAACCTACACAATGTCCCCCGAACATAGAACAATGAAACCTACACAATGTCCCCCGAACATAGAACAATGAAACCTACACAATGTCCCCGGAACATAGAACAATGAAACCTACACAATGTCCCCTGAACATAGAACAATGAAACCTACACAATGTCCCCGAACATTGAACAATGAAACCTACACAATGTCCCCCGAACATAGAACAATGAAACCTACACAATGTCCCCTGAACATAGAACAATGAAACCTACACAATGTCCCCCGAACTGCGACGTGGTTTTTGCAACGCTCCCCGAGTGTGAAATCGATAATTTTGGAAGGTATTTTGTGTGAATCAACCCACGTAGATTGTAAACCGACCTTAGATATTTAAAGTATGTTTTACACAATTTCAATTTTGTCTTTTAGCATTCGTAATTGAATATTCATTCTTGGGTTAAATGATGTCATAAAACATGCCATCTACCTATACATAATCGACAAGGTGGTCATTGTATTAGACGCCATATGTCTCATATGTTGTTCTCGTAGTCAATAAGAAACCACTCTCATTTTCCATATGCATTGACAAGAAAAGGATCACGGTCAATGCGATAGCATGCACATACGCTGCTAGTGTTTCAACCGAAACAAACGAAAAAGGTACAGTAAACTACCTTTATAACGAACACACTTATAACGAAACGACGGATATAACGATTTGTGGGGGTCCCGTCCTGTTGTATATGTTGTATATATGCTTATAACGAACTACGGTTAAAACGAACTAAACTTTGTGGTCTCTTTGAGTTATAACCGTTTTGTATGTTGTTTGATGTAACATTGTTTTCTAGAATGATTGTTAAGCTGTCATCCGTTATCGACTCGCTCTTACATCATCAGTCAATACAATGTTTCAGCGGTGTCTGTTAGGGTATGTTGTTCGTTTTGTGAAAGTGAATGTGGCAAACACTCGGTCTTGTGTTCAGAAACGATACAGTGGACCCATACTGCGAATCGTTTTCTTCAACATGTATCACGTCGTGATCTCATGAGACAGGTCTTAATTTTTGTAGTAAACTTAAGATAACTTAGCACTAAGGCAGCTTCAAGTACAGACTTAGCTACCATTTGTTGCTACGACACACTAACGCCAACCTTGGTGATAATTTTAAGACAGCTTCGTGAATAGGCCACCAGAAGGTCAATTCCCAACACTGAGCCTAAATGTCAATCTATCCTTTCATTATTCAATTCATTACGATTGTGTTACCCAATGCACATTTCCTGATCCCTGCATGTAGAATGACCAGCTGTGAACACATTTTTTGGAGATGTTGGACAATCCAATTTTGAAATTAATGTTTGCCCTTGTTCATCGTTGATATATGATAAACAGAAGATCCAAGACACGTGTGCTTATTGAATCAAATCAAAATATTTATTTACTTTATCTCCACTAAACTCGACATGCCAATTCGGGACTTGAAGAACATGCTTGTGACAGCTAGGATAATACACCTAAACGTGGCGAGGAGCGAGGTAATTATTATATATAAAGTGTCAAATCACTCACGTGTAGCCCCCGTACGGCTGTCGGTCACTATACTGCAGACAACACAATGTATACACCACCACGAGGGTCGCATAGTGTGAGATTCATCAAAGTGTAAACTGTCCACGTATTGTCCAAACTAAGTCCTCGAGGCTGAGCGAATTTGAATCTACTAGCATATATTTCAACACGTGTATTTCAACGTGATGATTCAACGGGGATTTCTGCCCACCTTCCGCCTCTAGTTTCCATTACCGTGACGTGACTAAAGGTGTCATTAGGTTTCCATCAGACCAGAATGTATAATTATCTTTAATGATGTTATTATTTCTGTTGTTATTGTTCAGCGAAGGAGGATCGGGTGTCCCTGGTAGTATCAGGCTTGCTAGACTCATCATAAGCTCAGTCCCCTCTACACGCAGCCCAGACAGCGAATAGGACTTCTCCCATGAAGCGCTGCCGAGTCGAACCCGCCTAGAACGTTTCGGAGAACGTGAAGACTTCCAAACAATGCAGCCTTCTGCATTACCCAGATTATCAGCACTTTATTGCCTGTCCTCCGATGCAAATAAATTACATCGGGGGGTAAGGTTCTGTGGATTGGACGACTGTGTAACGTAGTACCCGACGTCGTAGGACGTTGCTCATAATATCAATCACTGCTTTTTCTTTCTGACCCTCATCGATCTGACCTGTAAAACTCACATTATGAAGTCTAAATGAAAAACACGTAATCCTTTACATCAGACAATGATGATCGAGGTAGCAGCTGATGAGTTTCCTACACTGTATCACACATGACACGAATACAATGTCTGACCCAGACAGGCAATGAACACCAGTCTGTGAAACATCTACTCCATGGCTACCATTTCACAGAGTAGCAATTGTGTTAACACCGTCAGCCTTTAAACAACACGATTCCCCGTATATGTTACCATGTGTTAACACAGTCACCCTTTAAACAACACGATTTCCCCGATATGTTACCATGTGTTAACACCGTCAACCTTTAAGCAACACGATTTCCCCGATATGTTACCATGTGTTAACACAGTCACCCTTTAAACAACACGATTTCCCCGATATGTTACCATGTGTTAACACAGCCACCCTTTAAACAACACGATTTCCTGATATGTTACCATGTGTTAACACAGTCACCCTGTAAACAACACGATTTCCCCTATATGTAACCATGTGTTAAGACAGCCACCCTTTAAACAACACGATTTCCCCTATATGTTACCATGTGTGAACACAGTCACCCTTTAAACAACACGATTTCCCCGATATGTTACCATGTGTTAACACAGCCACCCTTTAAACAACACGATTTCCCCGATATGTAACCATGTGTTAACACAGCCACCCTTTAAACAACACGATTTCCTCGATATGTTACCATGTGTTACCACAGTCACCCTTTAAACAACACGATTTCCCCGATATGTTACCATGTGTTAACACAGTCACCCTGTAAACAACACGATTTCCCCTATATGTTACCATGTGTGAACACAGTCACCCTTTAAACAAAACAATTTCCCCTATATGTTACCATGTGTTAACACAGCCACCCTTTAAACAACACGATTTCCCCGATATGTAACCATGTGTTAACACAGCCACCCTTTAAACAACACGATTTCCCCGATATGTAACCATGTGTTAACACAGCCACCCTTTAAACAACACGATTTCCTCGATATGTTACCATGTGTTAACACAGTCTACCTTTAAACAGCACGATTTCCCCGATATGTTACCATGTGTTAACACAGTCAGCCTTTAAACAACACGATTTCCCCGATATGTTACCATGTGTTAACACAGCCACCCTTTAAAAAACACGATTTCCCATATATGTTACCATGTGTTAACAAAGTTACCCTTTAAACAACAAGATTTCCCCGGTATGTTACCATGTGTTAACACAGTCACCCTTTAAACAACACGATTTCCCCGATATGTTACCATGTGTTACCACAGTCACCCTGTAAACAACACGATTTCCCCTATATGTTACCATGTGTGAACACAGTCACCCTATAAACAACACGATTTCCCCGATATGTAACCATGTGTTAACACAGCCACCCTTTAAACAACACGATTTCCTCGATATGTTACCATGTGTTAACACAGTCACCCTTTAAACAACACGATTTCCCCGATATGTTACCATGTGTTAACACAGTCACCCTGTAAACAACACGATTTCCCCGATATGTTACCATCTGTGAACACAATCACCCTTTAAACAACACGATTTCCCCGATATGTTACCATGTGTTAACACAGCCACCCTTTAAACAACACGATTTCCCCGATATGTAACCATGTGTTAACACAGCCACCCTTTAAACAACACGATTTCCTCGATATGTTACCATGTGTTAACACAGTCACCCTTTAAACAACACGATTTCCCCGATATGTTACCATGTGTTAACATAGTCAGCCTTTAAACAACACGATTTCCCCGATATGTTACCATGTGTTAACATAGTCACCCTGTAAACAACACGATTTCCCCTATATGTTACCATGTGTGAACACAGTCACCCTTTAAACAACACGATTTCCCCGATATGTTACCATGTGTTAACACAGCCACCCTTTAAACAACACGATTTCCCATATATGTTACCATGTGTTAACACAGTTGGCCTTTAAACAACACGATTTCCCCGATATGTAACCATGTGTTAACACAGCCACCCTTTAAGCAACAAGATTTCCCATATATGTTACCATGTGTTAACAAAGTTACCCTTTAAACAACACGATTTCCCCGGTATGTTACCATGTGTTAACACAGTCACCCTTTAAAAAACACGATTTCCCCGATATGTTACCATGTGTTACCACAGTCACCCTGTAAACAACACGATTTCCCCTATATGTTACCATGTGTGAACACAGTCACCCTGTAAACAACACGATTTCCCCTATATGTTACCATGTGTGAACACAGTCACCCTTTAAACAACACGATTTCCCCGATATGTTACCATGTGTTAACACAGCCACCCTTTAAACAACACGATTTCCCCGATATGTAACCATGTGTTAACACAGCCACCCTTTAAACAACACGATTTCCTCGATATGTTACCATGTGTTAACACAGTCACCCTTTAAACAACACGATTTCCCCGATATGTTACCATGTGTTAACACAGTCACCCTGTAAACAACACGATTTCCCCTATATGTTACCATGTGTGAACACAGTCACCCTTTAAACAAAACGATTTCCCCGATATGTTACCATGTGTTAACACAGCCACCCTTTAAACAACACGATTTCCCCGATATGTAACCATGTGTTAACACAGCCACCCTTTAAACAACACGATTTCCCCGATATGTAACCATGTGTTAACACAGCCACCCTTTAAACAACACGATTTCCTCGATATGTTACCATGTGTTAACACAGTCTACCTTTAAACAGCACGATTTCCCCGATATGTTACCATGTGTTAACACAGCCACACTTTAAACAACACGATTTCCCCGATATGTTACCATGTGTTAACACAGCCACCCTTTAAACAACACGATTTCCCATATATGTTACCATGTGTTAACACAGTTGGCCTTTAAACAACACGATTTCCCCGGTATATAACCATGTGTTAACACAGCCACCCTTTAAGCAACACGATTTCCCATATATGTTACCATGTGTTAACAAAGTTACCCTTTAAACAACAAGATTTCCCCGGTATGTTACCATGTGTTAACACAGTCACCCTTTAAACAACACGATTTCCCCGATATGTTACCATGTGTTACCACAGTCACCCTTTAAACAACACGATTTCCCCTATATGTTACCATGTGTGAACACAGTCACCCTATAAACAACACGATTTCCCCGATATGTAACCATGTGTTAACACAGCCACCCTTTAAACAACACGATTTCCTCGATATGTTACCATGTGTTAACACAGTCACCCTTTAAACAACACGATTTCCCCGATATGTTACCATGTGTTAACACAGTCACCCTGTAAACAACACGATTTCCCCGATATGTTACCATCTGTGAACACAATCACCCTTTAAACAACACGATTTCCCCGATATGTTACCATCTGTTAACACAGCCACCCTTTAAACAACACGATTTCCCCGATATGTAACCATGTGTTAACACAGCCACCCTTTAAACAACACGATTTCCTCGATATGTTACCATGTGTTAACACAGTCACCCTTTAAACAACACGATTTCCCCGATATGTTACCATGTGTTAACATAGTCAGCCTTTAAACAACACGATTTCCCCGATATGTTACCATGTGTTAACATAGTCACCCTGTAAACAACACGATTTCCCCTATATGTTACCATGTGTGAGCACAGTCACCCTTTAAACAACACGATTTCCCCGATATGTTACCATGTGTTAACACAGCCACCCTTTAAACAACACGATTTCCCATATATGTTACCATGTGTTAACACAGTTGGCCTTTAAACAACACGATTTCCCCGATATGTAACCATGTGTTAACACAGCCACCCTTTAAGCAACACGATTTCCCATATATGTTACCATGTGTTAACAAAGTTACCCTTTAAACAACACGATTTCCCCGGTATGTTACCATGTGTTAACACAGTCACCCTTTAAACAACACGATTTCCCCGATATGTTACCATGTGTTACCACAGTCACCCTGTAAACAACACGATTTCCCCTATATGTTACCATGTGTGAACACAGTCACCCTTTAAACAACACGATTTCCCTGATATGTTACCATGTGTTAACACAGTCACCCTTAAAACAACACGATTTCCCATATATGTTACCATTAGTTAACACAGTCACCCTGTAAACAACACGATTTCCCCTATATGTTACCATGTGTTAACACAGTCACCCTTTAAACAACACGATTTCCCCGATATGTTACCATGTGTTAACACAGTCACCCTTTAAACAACACGATTTCCCGTATATGTTACCATTAGTTAACACAGTCACCCTGTAAACAACACGATTTCCCCTATATGTTACCATGTGTTAACACAGTCACCCTTTAAACAACACGATTTCCCCGATATGTTACCATGTGTTAACACAGTCACCCTTTAAACAACACGATTTCCC